CCAATTAATAAAACTGCCACTTTTACTCTTAATCTTTTATCCAAATAATAATTTATTTGTCCCTTCCACAAGATACTAAAAATTTAGATGATAAATTATAATCTAATGCTCTAACTGTTCCTTAATGTTTTTCTAATTTATATTAATAACTTAATTCATTCGATATAAAATTGATTTTCCATACTATTATTTTATTATCACTACTTCCTGAAGCTATTTCATTTTCATTTTAATTCAAAGCTAAGCATGTTATAATATTCTGATGTTACAAATAAGGTTATGAACTATTCCATTCATTTTATGAGTTTAATTTCCATAAACGAATTGTACAATCTTAGGAACCTGATAGAAAAGCATCACAGTACTTGCTGTAAATCAAACAATAAATAAAGCTATCATGCCCTTTTAAAGTTTACTCTTCTTAAATTTTACCATTAGCAAATTTCCAAATTTTTAGATCTTGTTGATAAGTTGAGACCATAATTGAGGATTTTTAATTAAAAACTATTGAATAGCAATCTTTTGATTTTATTGAATTATTGATTAATTTAAGTTTGGTAGCACCTTTTGATGGATTATCATATCCTTAATATGCTTACATTAAAAAAATTTAAAATATGATAAATATTATTAATTTAAATTTCCAATCAAAAATTTTTAATTTATTCTGCCAATTATTACAGAAATCTATTCAAAGAATTTACTTATTTCTCTAGCCTGAATATGTAACCAAACTCAAAACCAAAATGATAGCTTGAAGAGAGATTATTTAAATTTATCGTATTTTATTTTATAGGTGATTATAAACCAAAATCAATCAATCTCTTTAATATATATTATAAGATCTATTTAGAAGCAGTTCTATAGGTTTTTAAATAAAGTTTTTATAACTGAGCATTTTTTTTCAAATAGTTTTATTTTAATCTTGAGATATTATAATATTTATAGTTAAAATGTTATAAAAAAGTGTAAAATATATTCAATCATCTTTAAGTAAAAAAGAATATTTGGATACTTTGAAATCTTCTAAATTGAATATATTCTATAGATTGGTAAATATAAAGAGAAAGTAGAAGTCTCAGACTAAATAAGTGTAGAAATTATGATGAATAAAATAATTGATATACTCAAATTATAAAAAATAAGAAATAAAAAACTAAGCGTTTACATACCTTCCATCATTATATTTTAGTTAAATAAAAAATTCATTTATTTCAGAATTACTATTATATTTGATTCTAATTCTCTTAAATAAAAGGTTTTTTATATTTGAAATCTGTAATCAAATATTAATATAGACACTGGCAAGATCTAAAGATATTATGATGAATGAGGAAACCAGGGTAAACTATTTTTAATAAATTCTTAGTTATAATTTATCTATTTTGTCTAATAGTATACTATTATTTTAGATAAATTGAGCTAATTTATGGTTCAATATCTTTTTATCCTCAACAAGCACATTATAAATAAGCTGATTATCTAGTAAATTATTCTCTTTGCTGCTCTATTATGACACAGGTAATCTAAAATAATTAATATCATATGCAAAGTGTTTGGAAAGTTTAGTACTTGAAATCTTAGACACGACTCTTCAATATCACCAGTTATAAAAGAGCGAAAAAAATTATTTAATAAATAACATAAAATATTTATAATCAGAGAACTATATGGGTACATTATTTTTGTTGAAAAAATAATAAAACTCATCTTTATTCAACTATAATTGCTCTTTTATAAATGCATAATTTGCAAATTTTATAATTATTTCTTTTGATTATATTATTCAGTTAATTAATAATGATTTTTGTACTCCTTTATATACAACCAGTATCTTCTTTGGCAAATCTATGAGGCTTAAAGCATATTTAAATATAATAAAAATTATTCGAGATTTTACTATTAATAACTCATCAAAAATTGTTTTTCTCATTTTAAGCATAATTTAGAGTTCTTAAATTAGGCCAATAAAATAAATAAATTTAATTGAAGTAGTGTATTCTATACTTATCAAAAACATAATGGCATTCTCTTCAGTTTAAATTAATTTATAATAATTTATATGGACTCTAGCATCTTGGTGATTAGTTTTTTGTTTTTTGAAAGCTCTTGCCTTCTCTTTAAATAATCACTTTAAAATATCAGGAATATTTGATCTTTCTACTCAATCGCTCTTCTTGTGATTATTTATTTATAAAGCTTTTTCTTTATTTTAAGCTAGACCAAAATTATTATTCTCTTTATTTTGATTGAAAATTTTTATACATTTGGAGGTGGTTATTCTAAATTATTAATGGTATTCAACAGAAATAAAGAATTTATTCATAATATAAGTTTATTTAATATATTAATTCAATCATATTGTAAATTTAATATACAAAATAATAGTTGGAAATTAATAACACTTACAATCTATGGAAACTAAAAAATTTGGATCTTTAAGCAGTTTAAATTTGCTTTATTGCTATTTTTATAGTAATTGATAAATATGTACAAAAATTTAAGTAATATGATGATACAATTCTCAAATAATGTGTATTAAATTAAGTTAACAATTTATTATAAATCATAAGTTAAAAATATCAGGTAGACTTCATAGCAACACTCTAAAATTTTTACATGATATTTTAAAGGAGATAAATATATTTAATAAAAATAGTTATTATAAAACTAAGAAGATAATTTAAGATTTTTTTTGAAAATGTTTTCAATTCATACAAATTTGAATGCCTGAATAATAATAAAGTAGATTTTCAAACGCTTCTAAATAAGGATTAATTTTATATTCATGGAACCAATAAGTAATTTTAAGAGTATTACTTCTCGCTTCATATTTCTACGACTATAGATTTAAATCTTTCTTTTTCTAGGATAGATACCTTCTAGTTGATGAATAAATCATAAAAGATTAATTTAATAATTTCTAAAAATAAAAACTAATATGGATTTACTATTTAAGATTTTAAAGGAAAGTAATTTTTTTTAAGGAGAACTTGAATCTAATTAACTAATTCTTTAAAAACAACCTTATTTACATTTGCCCAAATATACTAAAAAAATAACATGTAAATTAGATAATTTTAGAGAAACTAATCTTATTAATGGAAAAAATTATTTAACATTGTTACATTTTAATGAGCAGATATGAGATAAAATCAAATAGATTATAGCATGTTAAAGTTCTAATTTTTTAGTATAACCTAATTATTTTAATGTAGACTCTTTAAATAATAAATAAAACAATTTTATAATTTTACCTTTAGGTATTTTAATTTCATCTGTAATATATTTGTTTTAACAACAAAAAATTATTTGCTTGAAAATTAAATCATAAACATAAATTTTGTAATATATTTGGAGTTTTGAATTCTTAATTTTTCAAAATCTATATTAGAAAGTGTAATCAAGTATAAGTATATAAAGTTCCTAAAGTAAATTGAATTACAAAATTGATTTTCAAAACATAAAATTACTCTCTTAATTTAACTATTGTTAATTGCGATTGTTAGTTAAAATAATAAATACTATAAGTTATTGTAAAATGAAGTCTGAAATATTAGCTCTCTGTACAAAATTGAGCATCGTAGAAATTACTTTAAAAACTAAAAATTGAACCAAATATTGAGTCAGAATAGATATAATTTTTATTTATTATAATCACAAGGCTTTTAATTGCATTTTAAATAACTATTGTTAAATTTACAACCTTAAAGAGGAATATAGATGTTATAATAAAATTTTTGAGTGTTTTCTGTTATTATTTCATATAATTTTGAAGAAATAATTACAGGTTTCTAAAAATTGTATGGCCTATAGGCCAGTTTGGCCCTGCAACTGAAAATTAAGCATGTATTTCTTATATATCTCATCATAATTGACCACTCATAAAAAAACTAACAAAAATTGAAAACCGAGAGGATACTATTATGAAGATAGTTTTTTAATAAAAAATAGGTAAAGTACAATAGTATAATTGATAAATAATCGGCAAAATAATATTTTCATCGTTATTGATATTTAGAGCTAGCAGTAAACCTAACAAAACTGAATTTGTTTTTGATATTAAATTATGTTTTTAATTTAGAAGCCTTATATAACTTTTATTAAAAATCTTCCTTTAAACATATGATAATATAATGTTATTTAAAAAAATTAATATATATAGAAATTTAACATTTAATTTTCTAATTAATATTTTTCATTTAAATAAATTACTTAGGATGTCATCTGCATTTCACATTCATATAGGAGGGGCTGGTGTAATGATTGGTGATATGTTATGGAAATTGTATGAGAAAGAGCATAATGAGACAACACAAAAGAATTATATTTATCAAGAAGTTGATGGAAATCATCATCCATAAACACTTTTTGCTGATTTAGATGACAGAATGATTTATGAAGTTTAGAGAAACAAATAAATAAAATTTAAGAAGAATTCATTTCTTAATGGAAAAGAGGATACATCAAGTGTCTATTCTAAAGGAGCATATACAAATGGAAAAGAAATTGTTGATGAAGGATTAGACTTTATTAGAAAACAAGTTGAAACAATGGATCGATTAGATTAATTTATAATCACAACTTCAATTAGTGGAGGGACTGGGTCTGGATTTTCTAGTTTATTAATGAGAAGATTAAATGTTGATTATGGACATAAAATTAAAACAAATGGTTTTATACTATTTCCATCCTCAGATATGTCTAATAGTGTTCTTGAAATTTATAATGCTATGTTTTCAATAAAAATGACATAAGAATTTTTTCACAGTATCATAATGTTTGACAATTAGTCAATGTACAATGTAATCGATTAACAATTAGATTTAGATTATTTAGATTATTCCCATTTAAATAATGTGATTGCACAAATAATTAGTTCATACACTGGATTAAAAAGATTTAACAATATTAGCAATTCCAAATTATTTTAAAATATGTGCCCTTATCCTAATTTGCATTATTTTATCCCTTCTTATGGGAAAATGAGTTCAATAAATGATTACATTAAAAAAAATTAAAATCAAGCTTAATTCATAAAATATCTCACTTAAAAATCGATTAAGCTTTATTAATGTCCTAATAATCCTCAACATCTTTCAACAACTTTACTATTAAGATAACAGGAAGAGAATCCTTTTTATGGTAAATTTGATCTGACGCTTTAAAATTTAGAACATTTCTATAATTAAAGCCCTCGAGTTTTTCAATGTACCTCATCTAATTATTAAGTATTATCTGAGTTGGCTTCAATGAAATAAACTGGAATATTCTTTTCCAATGATGCTTCAATTGTTTATAGATTTAGATAGTTTGGATAAAAGTTTGATTAAATTTATGCTAAACGAGCTTTTGTCTGGACATATGTTACTGAAGGTCTTGAAGAATGGGAATTTAGTGAGGGAAGAGAATCTTTGGCCTAATTATAAGATGAATATAATCAAATTATAACAGGATCTGATTATCCTAATGGCAGTAATCTTAATCATCAATAATGAGTAAAATAATTATTTTTTACTGAAATTTCATTTAATTTTTGTTAAAAAATAAAAGAATGTATTGTTAATGAATTTTGTTTTTTTATAATTTGATTAAATTTATTGAAGAATTAATCACATCATTTTTCATTAAAATATAATTTATATGTTTCTGAAAAATTATGAAGACTGGATTTCTTGGTATAAATTGTTAATTGTCAAATAAAATTTCATATTCATTGATATATATACAATGTTTCAAAAAATAGATCTTTTTCCAGAATATAAATCATAATTATTTATCATTTTTTTGTTAATAACTTTTAATTAAGGAAAATATTTTGAACATTCTTTTGCTAATGAAAATTTCCTTAAAATTTTACAACTATCTCATTTCGAATGAGTGCTCTAAAATTTAAAGGAAAATTCTAAATAAAATAAATGAATATGGGGTTTAAAAATAAAAAGCCTTAATTCTTTTTAAAAAGAAAAAAAATTTGAGAGAGTAAATTTTAACAATAAATCTTAATTCAATGCTTAATTCTGTAGTTATTATTCTAATGAGAAAACAGAATTAAAGATTTCTTAGATATTTATTGAAGCATTAATGAAAGCTTTTATTATGATAAATTCTATTTTGCTTTAATATTTATTTCATAATTTTTTTAGAATTAAATGTTTATTTAGCTATCAATTAATAATTAAGATGTTCCATCTAGATTGTCATGCTTATAATGTGTGATAAATACAATAAATTAATGATACTTTAAAATATAATTGAGAATAATAGCTAATTAGATTTAAATTAAATTAGAAAAGAATATTTATTGCATAATAAATCTTTGTTAAAAAAAACAAGATTACTTTTGTAAGCTTTGTAGGTCAAATTTGTTAATTAATTGAAAGTTGCGTTTACTGAATTAATTTAATTTCTTAAAATTAGAATTAAATATTTAAAAGAAAATAGAAATATATTAACTAAATTAATAATAATTAGAGTAGGAAGATATTACTTTAATGTAAAATTTAATTTTATGTTAATCAAAGATTGATGTAATTATTATTTGTCAAAACTGACGTTAAAAAATTCATTAATAAAATTGGTGTAATTTCAATGTAATTCATTAAGTTTTTCTACATCTCTCAATAAATTTCAGTTTCATAGTTCAGCTGATAAATATTAAAATTATAATAATAAATAGATAAATTGAACTAAAAATATCATGGAGCAGTATAAATATGTGAAAATTTACATATTTGTGGGTTGATTGTTTTTAAGTTAAGGATTTTGATAGTCTTATGCAAAGAAAAAAACAATTATTGAAGAAACTAAATATAAATATGATATAAAACTAATTTTAATTTTGATAACTTTGAACTACATATTGATTTGTATCTTTTCTTAATTACATTAGTTTGATCTATTTATTTCTCAATTTTTTTTTCTTCTTGATGAAAACCGAAGAAGAAATAAAATAAGATCCTTATGGAGGATAATAATATTTGTACTAATTTTCTCTAAGGAAAATTTCCCTTTCTTATTAATTTCATATTAAAAATCAATAAAAATATATTAACATTATAACAAAGAGTGCCCATAATTCAAGCCTTTTAAAATATGTTTATTGGATGATTATACATATTGCAGTTATTCTTAAAACTTTACAAATTTTTCAATTTTTAGAACAATAAATTAACATTATTCATCTAATACAAGTGCTATAGATTCATTAGGCAAATACAAAAAAACTTTAGATCAAAGATATTCCACTAGTTTAGGAGAAATTTTTAATCTCTTTCTTGTTGATTTATTAATAGTGCAATTTTGAAAGATAATTACTTTTTAGATTCTATTTTTAAGACCGAAAAATAAATATCTAGTATCTATCTTTTTAATTTGTCGAAATTTCTACATGTAATCCTATGAAAATTATAGTTTTTTTATTTTTGAGAAAATCTCTGTAAAACAATTTCTTCATCTTTTAATTTTTGATATCAATTACAATTATTATATATGACTCAAACTTACTTAAGATTTTTACATCTACAAATATAAAAATAAATTAATGATTAAGACATATTACCTAATAATAGACATAAAACTAAGAAATTCTATTTGTACAACAATCTCCTTAACAATTAAAATCAGAAATATCATCTGTCTCATAGTCCTATTAATCTGATTATATTTCTTCTCCTTGTTCATTTGAATAACAATAATTAATATTCGCATCCTTTGAAAAAATAATCATCCGCTCTCAAGAGATGATTTTTATCAAGCAATCCTCTTATTTGTATTCTAATTAAAAACCTTCTTAAAAGTCATAAAGATAGTTCCACAAATTGATTAATCTTTTCTTTAATCTACCATTTTAATCTTGCAATTATCCTCTTTTTATGATTTATAAAATACTTACTTTAATATATATAATATAAATAATCAAAAAATTAGATTATCAATAATGTAGAATCTGAATTATGAATAATTCATAAATCATAAATTAATTAATTTTTATATTCATATAATTCAAAATATTTAGATGTTTTTTAAATATTAGAATTACTTAATACTATTGGCTTACTTTGTATCATGCTAACAACCTTACTTTTGTGTAAAGTTACATGATGTTAAACCTTTTAAGGACTAAAATTTATCGAGAAGAAGCTGAAAGAACTCATTAAACCTTAATCTTATAATAATAATAGGAATCATCAAATTGAATAATAAATTTATAAATAAAAATCAAGTATGAGTAACTCTTAATATAAAAAGATCTAAATTGAGACTATTAATATAATTTATAGGTTGTAAAAATGGCAATAAGTTAGATAAACAAATAAAAAATTAAATTTTCTCTGATCTGTAAATGTTCACATAAATTGAATAAAAACTTTAATTTTTTGATAATTATTTATATTACATAAAGTAATTCATATTCTTCAATTGTTTTTTTTCTAAATTATTATGTAAGAATTAATTAAATAATTACAATCCTTTATTCAAATGTTGAGATAAATCAAGAACGTTAAAGAATGAAGAAAATAAAATGATTAAAATTCTAACTATCAATTAAAAAATCTTTATAAAAATATACTAAATATAAATTAATAAACCACTTTTTAATGCAAATAAGTATTAATTAAATTGATTTTTTTTCAAAAGCATGTTGCACTCATTCGAAAGCCCAAAAGAGTTTTACTCTAAAATGATTATTTTATAATATTTTATAAGTAAGGGTTTTATTAATATTAAAATGAATTAAAAGATATAAAAACGAACTAATCAATTACCAGTTTGCTGTCTAACATAGTTGATATAATAATTTTAAATCTCTTCCTTTGTTGCATAAATAAAGTAAAATAATTTCCATATTTAATATGAAAAATATTAGATCGCTCTAACAAATTTATTTATTTTTACACCATAGCCTATATCCATTTAATTTTCTTTTAATCAAGATTTTATCTTTCACGCAATTAATCATATATATGAATGTCACATAAAGGAACATTTACTTATAGTGGTTTTGTTGGATGATTGTTAATTGAATCTTCAAATTTTTATGTGATCAATATAGAGTTCTAATTGTAAAATAGTCATCTCATTATTCACTACTATATTTATTTATTAAATTTTTTGTTTCTATCTTTTCCAATTTTTTTTCCTCTCCACCTTCGCAATACTTACCCAAAAATTATATTTAACCCATTTTCCATTCTTTTGTTTGTATTCCATATTTCTAAAAAAGATTTTTAAATTGATTTTCTGAATCTATAGACTTATTATTGTTAAATTTAATAATTTTTAACTCTCACTATTCTTACTTTTTATTCTTCTTCTACTCTATTTTAATCATTGAAATATATTGTCAAAATGCTATTATTCAAATTTTTTAGTTCAATCAAAATAGTATTTTAATATGAAATTTAAACTTATCTTTCAAATTGATTTAGAGACATGAACCTTTAGAAAATAATTTTAACAAATTACTGAAGAAAATTAATTTAATTGAATTATATGATTATTAATCAATTGAATCTAAGATTATAAGGGATATTAGAGTAAAATGTACACTTTATACATTCAATTACTGCTTATAGAATAATTAACAAATTTTATTTTTATCGAAAAATATCATAACTAACAATAATATTAGTTTTAAGAAGGATATATTGAGAATTCCTTGTGGAAATGATAATGAAATTAAAGGAAAGTCTGGATTTTAAGCGAATCTATAATATGAAAATAAAAATAATAATAACAAATTAAATCTGTTTTAATAAAAATAAACACTGAAATCGAAATATCTCGCCTAAAAGAATAAATAAACTGAAATTAGGTGTCTTTGAAATTATAAAATCCTATTATAATAAAGATTTGGCTTTTTTATGTTTTTTCTATTTGTACTAAACTAATTATTATATCAATTAAAATTTGTCTTATTTGCTATTATTAGCGCTATTTAAAATGAAAAGATATTTTAATTGCTTTATCATTGCCATAATTTAGACAAGAATATAAAATTGAAATTAATAGAGTAAATTATATGCAAGATGAATAATACATTTAGAAAATTATTAAAGGAGGAAATATTAAAGAATTGCTTATATATTTTTTATTTGAAATTTTATTTTAACAAATTTAAAATAAAAATCGAGTTTTCAATCATTAATTTAATCATGTTTTATGGGTCATCGAATTTTTGCCATAAAATTTTAATTTCTCAAAAATGAGAGAAATATCAGGTTGAATGGAGTCAACTAATATTAATTTAAGCTTGCTAAAATTTTCTTCAATGAATTGGCAATCTTAATTTTTAATGTTCAAAGATGTTAAGATTTATTTATTTCTATAAATCTAAATGTATATTTAATTCATCAATCTCATAAGTATATTTGTTTCTTTTTATCAGGAAATTTCTTTTTTTTTAATTGGTTTAAAGAAGAATTTTTTGATTCCTTTTATAGCTTATTATCAAAGAACAGGATAACCCTGTTTAAAAATCATTTTTATTTCCCAGAGTCAAAGTTGATTTTCAAGAAGCTCTAATTATTTATTGATTGATGATCTTGTAAGGAGTTAATCTATTCTCCTTATGCTATTTTTTGAGGTAATTTTAATTTTAAAAATATAATTAAAATTTTGTTAAAATGTATATAATATTATTGATTTCGAAGATTTCGCATATATAATTGAATTTTATCAAATTATCAACTCTTTCAGAATTTGAAAAGAAGGAATTAGAAGTTTGGAATTTTATTAAATAGAATTTTATTCATATGATAAATGACTTTTCTGAAATGTTTAGACCTATAAAAAATTTAATAATTTTATATGTTGACTTAAACAAGATTTTGAAGAGGATTATCTGAATATCTTTTTGTTTCTTTTATTTTTTCTAAATTTTGCTTTCTTTTATAATTTTGCCATGCTTTATTAATAAATTCAATTAAATCAATGATTAAATTTGATATTAAGATTAAAGTAAAAAGGGTAATATGAATGCATCCGTAAAGCAACAGCTAATTTTCATCAAATTAAAATAAAAATAAATCAAAATTCTCTTGAAATCAGTTTAGCATATTCAAAATTAGACTATATAGGTTTAAATTTTAATAGATAACTTAGAAAACAAAATGAGGACATTGAAAGTAATATTGATTATTCTTGTGTATAGTTTAGAGCTACAACAATTGTAAAAATATATTATCTTTTATTTTTGATGATGTGATAGAAAATAATTATAAACCTATATATACTATTACAACTAATCCAATTATTGCATTTATAATATTAAGAAACATAAGAGGAGAATTAAAGCTGCAATCAGGAAATTATAAAAAAGCACTGTATAAAAAAACTAGTGAAGTATTCTTATATAAACTTTAAATATCCCAAAAGAAAAGTATTCTTTTTTAAAATTATTACAAAATTTCTGAAGCTTTTTTATTATGTAAGATTTCAAATTTATGAGATGTGACTAAATTACAAATAAAATATGTTTAATGAGACAATTATGGAAAAGTAGCAACTTTTAGCATTCAGCAAATAAAATTAGTTTAATTATAACTTAATATTTCATCAATTCTAAAATAATCCAATATTGGTTTTAATGATATATTAGAAAAAGTATTCAGAAATTATATTAAATGAGGTCAAAATGAATATTACAAAATCTAATATATGATAAAGATTGTAATAGTCTTATAGATTAAATAACATTATTGTATTTCCAGTTAGCAATTGACTAATGATATCCTTGAAATAATAATCATGGAATAAATCATTCCATCATTAAAAAGTTCAATTTATGTTACTTATTTTTTATTTTTGAGTTATCACAGATAAAACAAAAGAGTTTCCAAGATTGATTTTCATTTAATTTTTCAAAATATCTAAATCTTGTTCATTTTTAATAACTAATTAAGCAATATCAATTTATAGAACAGGATCCTTTATAGGTTCTATGAATTCAACAACAATTGAATATAAAGTATAATTGAATGTGGTTGATAGATTTACTAATGACTTAATATTAATAGCTGCATGAGTATCTGGATATGGATACTGCTGCAATTTTTTCAAAACTTAAATTAGTTAATAATTGGATATTTTATGTGAACCTTAATTCAATTACGCTTTACTCTTATCCAGTAATAATAAAGCCATCATCACAGATTGGTAAACATGATTAATCTTCCAATAAAAATGGTCTTTACACATAAAACAAACTTCATTATTTAAGCAAAAAAGGCTATTAGGAATACACTCAATTTAGCAGTCAAAATATCCATCATTTTCAATCTAATTTCCATCATCACATTATTCAATAGAATGCAAAGCAATTAATCCATCTCCACAAAAAAATTAACATGTATTATCTATTAGTTTCCATCCAAATTCACAGAGCTGACATTCCTAATCTGCAAACTTAACATTTAAAATCGCAATCATTGCATATTTCAAATGTTTAATGATCCTCTCATCACATCTAGGCATGCAATATTACCTATTGACAGATAATTCAAATTTATCTTAGCAATGTAAATAAATGCTAAATTAACAAATTTTAGAAAATTCTTTGCATGAATATATATGCATTCAAAAAAAGAATCATTAGATATTAAATTAGCATCATCAGATTCTTCTTAACCTTGAATAATTCCATCACCACATATTGGATGACAATTTTCTAATAATTCATCTAAAATCCAACCATTTTGGCAAATCAAACATTTATCATCAAGTTATTCCAAACAACCTTCATTATATTAATTAAACATTATTTCTGGTTAAGTATAAAATACTTCAAAATCTCTTATATAACTTTAATGCTTAGTTATAATATAAGATAATTCTCTATGCAACCAGCGCATTCATATAACATTTAATAATATTTAATTTCAATTCTATTAATCCTCCATATTATGATTAAATCTATATCAAAACGCTTCTCCTGTTATGTTATTGAGTTATAGAAATAGTATATACATAATAGGGTTGTGTATAAAAACAAAAAATTGTGAGATTATATTACTGACGAATAAGTTATCCGTTTAGAATCTATACTAAATTAAGGTGGATTATTGTTATTAATACTTTTGTAAATAAAAAAATAATTACTTAAGAAATTTTGCATCTCCAAAAATATGAGAATGAGGTTCTAGATTGAAAAACACTCTGCTACTTCGAATTCAACTCCACAATTATAGAAATTGCAACCAACATGTTAATTTTGCCATCCTAAAATAAGTATTTAAATTATAAAAAATATTACCTTCTATAATGTGAGACCTTTCATCAAATTAATAAATAAGAGCCTGAAGAATTGTATAGACTAAGACAATTAAAAATATCATTAATAATTAAAATAAATAATATAGTTAGAATTCTTAATTAAATTATCTAATGAGCACTATTTAAGTTGAAGATTAATTATTATCAATTTATCTATTCAAAAATAATAATAAAAATGCTAAATTAGAATAGAATAAATGCTTTTCATTATTCTCTTCTATGTATTATAACATTTTGATATTGATTAGAAATAAAACTATGTATTCAAATAAAGTTTCATTTAACTTGTTGAGATATATTAATCGAAAAATTAATTAAACATTATCATGTCCAATTAAAGCCACCTTTCATTCTATTATTATATCAAATATCAAATTTAAGACGAGCTTTACCCCTTTTATTTATTTTTTCAAACCTAAAATATCAATAGATGTGAATTATTATCATATTATGAACTATTTCAGCATGAAAATGAATCATATATCAACCTACAATTCTTCTCTCATTTGTTTCTCTAAATTTCAAATTATTACAAATTTCTATTGTGTATATATATTTAACTTTATTATATGATTCTTTAATTGTTTGTAAAATTCAAAAAATAAATCTTGCAATTAAATGATATTTCTTTGGCTACTTTTCTACGGATAAGTTAAAATCATATTTTTGCTCCTTCTTTTGCTAAATAACCTTCTAGGAAGTTCAATATAGAAACTCAAAGCAATATGTTGCATTAAATGTTTAGGTTGATAACTGTCTAAATATGATTTAAACCTCTTAGCTTTTATCATTGAATAAAAATGATTATTTTTGGACACGATAAATTGAATGCCTTAAATTAAAGTAAATTCTTCACTTTTCAATTTGATAAAAAAATGTTATTAATTATAAAGAAATTCAGATGACCATTTCAGGATAAAAGGAATTTAATTATAATTGTTTTAATTGTTTTATTTATTAAAGATCTTACTAAAAAACTAAAAACTATTGGAAAAATATGATATTTTTGATAAAAATTATATTAAAAAAAACAAGCAGAAGCAAATATTAAAAAAGAAAAAACTTTATTTTAATTAAGTCATTTATTTTGCGATCAAAAATTCATTAGAACATTTTCATTATTTAGGAATTATTCGAACTTAATTTTAGATGATTCTAGATGAACTTAAAATATTAATGGAGTTAGTGTCATTATAAAGCTTTCATTACGAAAAATTAGAAATAATTTATAAACAATTTCCCAATACTTAATAGGGATTATAAAATTGATAATTCACTCTGCACTGAAATATTATATAACATGATTTTAGACTAAGATAATTATAATTTGAATGCAAATATACAACTTGAACTTATCAAAGATCTCATTTCACTATCCCAACATGATGTATATTTGGCTAATGAAAACCTATTTTAAATTAATTCGATTATCTTTTTAGTATGAAATGGCTTAAAAAAAGAAATTTAATTTTTAGAGTTTACAAAATCTAAACATTAGAAGCTGCGATAAAACTGTTTCCTAAACATGATGGCTACTAAGCATCGCGCAGTATTTCCTATATACTTTAATCAATTGAATTAATCTCCAACAAATAAAAATAAATTGTTGATTAAATCTCTTCAAAATCATTCATTTTTCTTGTTCCCCCCAACAACAATAGAAATTTATTATTGTTAAATTTCTTAGTTCCTCATAACATAAACCTTTTATTTTCAAGAAAAGGTACTTTATACCAATTAACACTGTCCATAGAAATCTATAATAAATAGTCATCAAATCATGAAATAACTATTGTCACTTAATATTAAAGATTTCGATAAATTCAATTTACTTTAATTTAATTCTGATGTTAAGAGTAATAGCCTTTTTCTTTTTAAAGAAACATTAATAAAGTTATAATGTGTTGAATTTTTTGGATCTTTTTGCTGAAAGACTTATAAAAAAGAGGTTATAAACAATTTTAATAAATTAATTCTTAATCTTTGATTATTAATGAAAGTTCCAAGACATTTCCAAATTAATATAGAGAGAAAAAGAATATTATTAATTAAAAACAACTTTGAAGTTTGGCTGCCATTCAAATTAAAAAGTTTCCAATAGTATACTCAATTTTTTTTTTTAGAAAATTCATCATCTAACCTATTAATATATAGTCAAAGTATAAATATTGATCTTTCTATCCTAGCCTATTTAAATAAATTACCAATTATAAAAAAGAATTATTTATTAAAAGAAATATTGATTGATTAAATCTACTGAATTTAATTATAAATCTCCATATTTATTTTAAATTATATTTGAGATAATTGTTATTTATTCATCTTAAAAAAATGAAAATTAGTATTAATTTAATTATTATTAACTTTTTAATTTTATCGAACTATTCATTTCAATAAATGAATTACCAGGTTAATCAGTATAGAAAAAGATACACTTTAATTGAAGATGAAATTTTAGATCTAAGGATCTATCTAAATAATTCAAGTAGATAAACGAAAGCAAAAATAAATAATTCTTGAATAGATGTTGTTTGTTTTTGCATTTCAAAAAAGACAATAATTAATATACAACTATTTCATAAAAATAGAGTAATTTATTATTTTTCTAATCAGTTTTCTCTCCTTTAATTTCTTAGAGAGATTACTAGTGTCAAGCAAATATTTGGAGAATATTATAATTAATTACAAATTAATATACATTAAGATATGAATTATTATAGCAATACAATAATTTTAAGCAATTGCTTAATAATGTTTGCCACAAAAACAAGAGTTCTTTAATAATTTATTAATAAAACGATGAAATCAATATATATATAAGCATGCTAATAAAATTTTAAATTATATAATAAAGTAATAGAAATAAAATTAATTAGAAAAAATGAACTTCCTATCTGAAAACTCTTCCAAAAAGATTTTTTAATAGCCATACTTTTAGTAAAAAGGTACCTTAGAATACAAAGTATTCGATAAATGTTTAAAGATTAAAATTTAAATCACATTTTCCAAAGATTAAAAAATTATTTATTCAAGAGATGGAGTAATTTTGAGAGTGTAATATATCTTTATTGAATGTAAAAGAGAAGAAATTGCAAACTTATCCAAAAACCCAGAAATTCTAAAAAATATGGAATAAATCAAAAATCTTGCTTGGTAAGGTGAAAAGGCATAGAATAATAAAAAACATGGAAAATGGAAAGCCTCTTGGAATGGAGAAGGTCTGATGAATGTTGGTGGATATTATAAAGATGGGTTAAAGCAAGGCTTATGGAAAGAAATAATTGAAAATTATTCTACGTATGTTATATTTATTACTAATTTAAATAGTCAAGCTTAGGTTTATTTATTTGGAGAATACTATAAAGATTTAAGAAGAGGTAAATGGAGTTATATATATAAAAATAATAAGATGTACTTACTTAAATAATTATCTAGCTATGGGGGATTATACAACGAAGAAGGTTAAAAAAAAGGTAAATGGATAGAGTTGAGCGATGGATTTATGGATTATTCTTAAGTAATTTATATTGGGCAATATAATACGAATGGAATAAAAGTTGGTGTCTGGCAAATCTTTTGGTTTGAAGGACTATAAATGTAAAGGCTAAAATGATAATAGAGGTGGTGGATTTTATAGTGAATAGTTAGGAGCTTAAGAGAAAAAGATAGGAAGATGGATCGAATTATCAAAGGGATTCAAATAAGAGAGCTAAATCACTTATATTGGTGAATATAATATTTATGGAATAAAAGCTGGAAGGTGGGATACTTATTTTAATTGGAGAGAAAATAAAAAAATGTAAAATTAAATATTGTTTTAGAGGTGGCGGATTTTATAATGAATAAGAAGGAAGTTTAATAAAGATAGGAAGATGGATGGAATTGTCTAAGAATTTTAGGTTGGATTCTTAAATTATTTATAATGGTGGATATAATATGAAAGGTTAGAAAATTGGAAAATGGGATATTTTTCGGTTAGGAGGAGAATAAATGTAAAAACTAAACTAAATATAGAGGTGGTGGATTATATGACGAGTAAGAAGGAGGTTCAAGAAAGATTGGAAGATGGATTGAGTTGTCACAGAATTTTTACGATTATTCTTAAGTCACCTATAATGGTGAATATAATTAAAATGGTTAAAAAGTAGGTAGATGGAATATAATGTATAATGAAGGCTTGGGATATAAATAAATGTAATGGATAATGTAATTTTAGTGGTGGTGGATTATATGATGAGTTTGAAGGATATTCAAGAAAGATTGGAAGGTGGATAGAGTTATCAGATGATTTTTGGATGGATTCCTAAGTGACCTATGATGGTATTTATAATAAGGATGGTAGAAAAATTGATAGGTGGGACATTTATCTTAATTATGGAGGAAACAACAAAATGTAAAAGTTAAAAATATGCTAGTGGTGGTGGATCATATAATGAGTTTGAAGGAAGTTCAAGAAAGAATGGGAAGTGGATTGAGTTGTGGGAAAAATTTGAAGCTGATTGTTAAATAACTTATTGTGGTTAATATAATAAAGAAGGGAAAAAAGTTGGAATATGGATTGAGATGAAGAGAGAGTATAATGAGAAGAGGTTCAAAAAAATAAAAAAATTAAGATATGATAATTGAAAAATAGTTCAAATTAAATATATTAAAATTTTTACTATTATATTTTTTAGAGGGGATTTTTATTACTTTTTGTTTTTAAGTTATTTTGATTTTTTTTATTTCAATTTTTATATATATATTTTAGATAACATTGAGTATTAGTTTAAAAAAAAACTGTTATATTTGTAAAATTTGCATATGATTTACATAAATTATTCACCATTTTAAATATTATATTTATATTTAGATGAAATTAATAAAAATTTTAACAAAAACAACTTTTACATAAATTGTGTTTGCAAATGATTTCTTTAAATTATCAACCATTTTAAATATTATATTTATATTTAAGACAAAATTAATTAATAGTGTAATAAAAAGTTTTTTATATTTTTTAATTTTGTATATGATTTATATAAATTATTCTGCATTTTAATATAAAATTCATAGTTACGTTTTAGACTTGATATTAATATGTAATATATAATTTTTTTGTCAGTTAAATATGTAAAAATAACATCTATTTATTTAAAAAAATTTTAAGAATTATTAATATTAATAAACAATAATATTTTATTAAGCAATTTTAAAAATTATAAAAAACTTAAAATTTTATAATATTAGGTAATAAATCTTTTTTTAATAAGAAGATTATTAAAAAAATTTCTTTTTATTTTCTCTTAGGTAATTAGAAAAAGTTTTTACCCTTTGAAATCGTGCCTCTTTCTTATACCTGCACTTATTCTTTCACCTTTACCTCGTTATCTTTAGGATTTTGAGTTGCCTTTTTCTTAACATGATTTTATTATTATTATGGATTCCTGTACACTCTCTAATCAATTTTTTTCTCAAACTCACCATTCATACTTTTTGCCTTCCTCTAATTCAATTGACCATTAAGTAATTAACATGATATTAATATAATTATTATATAAATTTCTTTAAAAATTAATTATATAAATTGATACTTGTATATCAATCATGCTTACAGCAACAAAAACTTCTCATTTTTGAACTTATTTCTTTCAAGCATTTTAAGAAATTGATTTAAAATATGTATTGACCTGATTTATTTAATAATCTTAAGGTTGAATTACAAAAAAAATATCCCTAAACCTAAACCTTAAGATCTTAAACTTATCCATATTTTATTTAATCATTAACAAAGTTACCTGTAAAATTACTCCAATCATAATCAAAGGATGCATTTTGATTATCTTTTTAAAAGCTACAGTCTTATTAAATTCTCTCAAAACTAGCACAATTTCCATTTTTTTTATCGTCCTTCCAACATCCTTTATATTTTATTATCTCATTTTTTGTTATCTCTAGATTTATTCCTTCTCCATTTTTTTTATTATTCCTCAATTCTCCTGAATAGATTTCCAAAAGTTTAAATGTATTTCGTTAATAAATATATTTTATAACATTATTACCTTCCATCTTTAGATCTTATCTCAAATTAACTATAGTTACATTAAAATATAAAATAATATCACCATTTTGATTTTATTAAATAATTTTTCCTTTGAATTGAAAATCCTCATAATTATTTTGACTAAATTATCCAATTAATAATTAATTTATATATATTCCCCACCATTATTATGAATTTTTCTCTAATGCCATAATCATATCATTTAAATTTATAGGTTTTTCTTAATTTTCATCAAAATCCCAATTATTAATTTAATTATTCATATTTTCTTTTTTCAAATTCATTATTTTATAATAGTCTATAAAAATTTTAATTTCAGGTATTTATTTTTATAATACTTCGATAAATTAAATTTTAGATGATGGTTATATAAATTACTTTAAAGAATCAGATTCTTAATTTGGATTTGAGAAATGATCTATCTCCTTAAATCTATTATTAGATTATACGGTAGTTTAAGTATTAGGTCGGTCGTAATGGTCTTCTTAATTTTCAAGATTAAGTTAAGATACTTATTATATTCTTTTCTTTGTCAAGCTCTTTTCAATTTGATTAAATTTAAAATCTTTTTAGTGTTTTTTATTCATCTCTTAGATTTCTTTTTCATATTCTTATAAAACTTAAGTATTATCATCATGAGTGTATAACTATAGAATATAATATTTATCTTCTATGCACAATTCAGAAATTATTTCTTTTTTGTCATAACGTCTGTATAATGCTTACACATGTTTAGCTTTTTACTTTAATTTAGGATAAGAATCACCAATTTTTGATAAATAATTAATTAACTCTTCCTTATCTAAATAATATAATAGATTTTCATCAAATTCATAACACTCATTCTCTATAAGATTCTTAATATATTAATTTTCTTCTTAATTCATTTTATGATTTAGTATTGTTTTTTATTCTTTCTCTATTAAATTAATTAGTTGATCATCTGCAAAACTAAGATTGGCCCTAAAAGATTCCTCAGTATTTTAATATTTAGAATTTTAATTATTTTTCATAGATTCTTCAGCATTTTTCGCAGATTCTTGAATATTTTAATTGTTTCTTATAGATTCTTGAATATTTTAATTATTTCTCATAGATTCTTCAGCACTTTCAATTTTTCTCTTAGATTCTTCAGAAATTTTAGTTTTTTTAAATTATTCTTCTACATCAATTTTTAATTATTAAAATTTTTCAGGTATTTCATCGTTAAATATAATATTTTTAATAATTTCTGAAATTTTATCAATAATTTATGTTCCAAAATCTTAAATATTATTTTAATCATGCAATATTACTTTTATTTATTCTTCTCTTTTGAATGATTATTAATAACAACTATTAAGATCACACTTTTAATAAAATTTTTCAAAATTTCCAAATAATTCAAGCATCATAATGCCTAATGCATATCTATCCTCTTTTTGTATATCTTCAAGAATTCTTAACTTAACAATTTTCTCAATTTTAATTTTATCCCCTTTAGCATTATGTAATTAAGCAATAAATGAATTTGACAAATATGGATATAAATTTCTCATTTGATCTTGATTAATAGGATCAATATAGTTTTTTCTAAGTGTTAATTATATATCCTCTTTTGAATCTTTCATATATCCAAAATCTATCAAATAAAATTTATTATCATCCCATATAATATTAGAAGGTTTCATATTTTTATGAACTATTGTTAAATTTTTGTGAATTTATGCTAATTCCAATAACTAAAAAAAAAAATTTCTTTTATCTTCTTTTGATAATTTTTATTTTAATATGTTTAATAATGAATTTGATTTGGAATTACATTTATATTATACATATAATGGAGAGGAACCTGAAGATTATTATTATGTAGTGTATTTGATTATTTCAAGTAAGCACGGGTAATACTTTTAAAATTATTTTAAACTAATTTCCAATTATTCTTAATGTTTAATTTATTTTACTCTTAATTAGAATTATGAAAGTGATCCGCATTCAATTTTTTTGACCAATTTGTCTTATTCATCATAAAATATTAGTGGATGAGCTGTTGATTTTAGTTTAGTTTCATCAGGATAATAATTCACACTATTACTCTGATTCATTTATATAAAAATTTAATTAATTGATTATTATATCTATAAGTTTCCATTTTATATATACTAGTTTATATAATTAAATATAGCAAATATAAAATGTATGATTAAGAGAATATTTTGATGTTTGACTTTTAGAAGAATATTAATTATAATTTATTAAATAATTCATTTTAAATTAGGTTTTATAAATTTTATTAATTTTAGGCTTTCAAAATAGTATGAGATTGTTTTTAAAAAGAGAAAAATTTTAGAAAATGTTAATATATTAAAGAGTATGTAATTTATAATTTTGATTAGAATTACTTAAATTTGTTTAATATTGAATAAGATAAGAATAATTTAAGATCTATATTTTAAGTTATAAGTAAATAAGAGATAAATTATAATATATATAAATATCATATATATAATAAAACAAGATAAAGTGATGTAGTATATATCATCGCTATCGAGAAATTTACAATCTGGAAATGTTTTTTTGAATCCAAGTCTAAATTTTCGAGATAGGAATGTTTAGAAAAGTTTTAATATTTTTTAGGAAGAGTTAAATAAAAGTACCATGATTTTGATAGAAACTTTTAAAATTTTTTTGGAATTAGCTTTGACGATTTCTTCAATAGTTTAAGATAGTTAATCATTTTAGTCATATACCCTAATTGTTTTTCCATTATCAAGCCTGTTGCAAATTTGGAGCATAAATAGGAACTCAAAATACAATGATTATTATAAAATCATTCATGTTTTAGCACTAAATATCTTTTTGAGTTTCTATGCTAATTAGTTTCTGATTGATGGATATGTGTAATTATATTATATTTATGTTACTCAAAGCTTAAACAACAAAAAATACTTAATTTCTTACTTTGCAATTACGTATATGACTTATTTGTATTTCTAAAATTAATTTGATTGGATCCTAATACCTTTCTAATTGATATTCATTTTTGCAATATCAGTTAGTATATATTTGAGAGAGAGAAGAAAATTAGTTTATTTCTTTGAGAAATTCAACTTCAGTCATGATCTATCTTATTAAGAAGCGATGCTCAATCATAGTTTCTAATAAAATTTATTTGTGATAAAGTTGAATTCACACTTAAGTTTCTAAGATTAATTTAAAGTTTTGTTTTTTAATTAAGCTTGTGAAAAGGAATTTGCTACTATTCAAGAAATTTATCAAAGATTAAAAGAAATATATATCATAAATGATAACAAATAAAATAATTCTTTGCAAAATATGAAAATAAATTAATGTTAAGAGTTTCTTAAAAATAATTTAAAAGTACCTAGAAGTGAGTCAATAAATATATATGATTAGCCTACATCATTCAATTAAATACTTTATTTATATATTAAGAATAGTGAAAATAATAAACTTTAAGATTATTTACCATTGTAATTAATAGGTTTAATGAGTGATTAATAAAATAATCAACACAAAACTTATGATATTTTAGTATCTCCATGTATTTGGAAACATTAAGAAAGCTTTTTAGTTTCTTTAATTGAAATAACTGATAGAATTAAAATATCCTAACTTGAAAAATTGGATTAATATAAAGATAATATTTTAGCAACAGTTACTCATGATTTAAAAAATCCTATTGGCGTTATTTAATCTATTATTACATTAGTTTAACATAATTTATATTAATTATCTGAAATTTAAACTAATCTAGATATATAATAAAAAATATAATCTAGTTGTAATTTGTTAGAAATTTGTTAAACAAATGTACAAATTATCTAATCATTCATTAATGATTTACAAGATTTTGCATAAATTAAGAAATAGAAGTTAAAGCTATCAATTAGTTAAATAGATTTATTGTAATTAATTCAAGATATTAATAATGTATTTTAAATTTAAATAGAAAAAAAGAATTTACAATTAGAAATAGTTTCAAATCTTTAATAATCAAATTAATGCAATAATGACCCTTTGAGAATAAAGTAGATTCTTTTCAATTTAATTTCAAATTCTATAAAATTTACATCAAAAGGAAAAATATCAATCATTTTTTGTGATGATAGTTATGATATTGCTGAATTTTGTAAAAATGTTAAGGAATAGATTGAAACTAATAAATCAGTAGTTGATATTAATACTCTATTAAAAAGTAAATAGAGTTTAATTCTTTGTACAGTATCTGACAATGGTAGTGGAATGAGCAAAGAAATTTAGAAGAGACTCTTTAGAAATTTTGGCACATACGACAATGATAGCAATTCAAACAAGTAGAGTATTAGTATAAAATGTTAGAAATGGTGTTGGTTTAGGATTGATAATCTGTAAGTAGTTATGTGGATATATTGGACCTTTGTAGTACATATATCTGTAATCATAAGTAGGAGTTGGTTCAAGTTTTTAATTCGTCATTTATAAAAATAATGACAAATAGAGCATCTTATAATAAGAATAGTTTAGTATAGATTCTATTGATTATGATTAAGCGAATTCTCCATATAAAAATATCTTTAGTACTAATCATCTCACTCCACTAGATAAAAATATTAAAAAGAGGGATCAATTATAAGTGTTGATTGTTGATGATGAGTCTTTCAATATTATGTTACTAAAAATATAATTATAAAAAATAGGAATTAATAAGGTGGATAGTGCTTTCAATGGTTAAGAAGCCATAGATTTGGTAATCAAGCAGAATTATGACATAATATTTTTGGACTTGAATATGCCTAATATGAATGGATTATAATGTATGTATGAAATAAAGAAGATAAATTCAGATATCAAAATTTACATATTAACTGCATTCAATGACAGAAAAACTCAAAAGATGTGTATAGATGCTGGTGTGAACAAAATCTTATCAAAACCACTCAATTGCTAAGAACTTGAACAATTGATTATTTGATTATATCAAAATTGTTTATATTGAATAAACACACTATTAATTATATAATAAAATATGAAATTTATTGAATAGGAAAAAATAGAATAATGTCAAATATTCTAAGTGTACAAATTATCTATATTTTAAAAATAAAATAAAAAATAGATTCAGTACAATAGAGAGATGTGAAAAGTGATGAAGAGAAGAAACCCAATTAAAGTAGAGGTGAATATAGAAAGCAAAAACCTAAATAAAGATAAGAATAGACAGAGTAATTAGTAAAAGGAGAGGAGAGTTAATATTAACAATATCTAGTTTAAAGATTAAATAGATGGATAAAAAGATAATATAGATTAGAATTAGTAGAAATAATTATATTAATATAAAAGTGATGATAGAAATAGACCTTAATTTGATTTAAATAAGTCTAAGATTACTATGAATAGCCAAGTACCTGAATTATCTATTTATCTTCATTAAAACCTAATAAAGAGAGTATTATAAATAATTAGATAAAATTGATATTAGAAAATAATGAAATCATTTTATATATGAATTATCACTATATTTAGAATGTTCAAATATATTAAGGAATAAGCAAGATGAGGGAATTAAAAAAAATCTACTAATAAAGTTTAACCTTTAGGATAAATAATTGGAGACAAAATCAAATAAGTTAATGAAAAATAAGCAGAACTAGAAAAGTGTGGATAATCTAGATAAAATAATAGATGAATTAGTAAGATTAAGAAATCAAGATAAAATATTAATAGCAGAAAGGATTTTTATGTAAATAAAGAGAACTGGTCCAAAAAATAAAATATAGAAGAAAATAATAAAGAAGTATTTTATAATAAAAGACTCTCATCCAAATAAATTTTGAGCCTTATAATGAAATGCAAAAATTAGATTGCTCGTTATTATTTATCATTAACAAAGTATTATAAAATCATGGATTCCTTTGGTTAGTAATATTATTTTTAAATTCATTTAATATATTGGTAATTTATTCAATATTAGATTTCTTGAAATTTATGTAATTCAATTTATTTTGAAGAGTATTAAATTCTTCTTTTATATTTTCGTATTACTTTTGATTATCATGTTCGAATTTTGTTAGATCTGTAATTTTCTATAATAAATTCTTATATATTTTACATTTTCAATTAAGGTTATGTATTCTAAATAGTTAAAATTGATTGTATAACTTGGTTGTTCTAACTGATTAATTCGTTTATCCTGAAAATTTATTCTTTCTTCTTCATAGACAATTATTTAATTATTTTAATCAGTAACTTTATATTCTAAATCTTTGATTATTTATTCTAAATTTTCAATTTTTTTAAGTTGATTTAAATGTATTTGATTTAATCTTTCATTTTCTTTGAGTGTTTATGTAATTTTAATTTCCTTGTAATATTCAATAATTGAAATACCATATTTTCAATAATAGATGAATTTGGATCATTTTAACATGCGTCCATATATTTTTTTTTCCAATCTTCAATTTCATCGGCTTAATGATCAATAACAGATTCTAATCTTTCAACTCTTTATTTAATAATATGAAAATCTGTATGTTAAATTTAAGCTATTAATTGTTGTTTTTCTTTAGTTAATTTAGTAACTAGATTAGAAAGTTTTAAATTTTCTTAGATTGAACGTTTAAGTTAAATTTCTATTTAGGTTGAGTGTTAATCAAATTTAATATTAGCATTTTCCTTATTAAGTTAAGGACTATCTTATGTTAATATTCTTTTAGTATTATTAGTGGTTCTAAAACTGTTCTCAGTTGTTTGAGATGATACATTAAGAACCTTGAGATTCTTTAACATATTGAATTTTTAAGGTGTAGAAGGTGTAATTTCAGTGAAAATAGTTTATTAGATAGGTTAATGTTATAGAGAGTTTTAGAGTAATGATTAATAAGGTTTAATTTTAGGAGTGGATGTGGATGTATACATTATNTAAAATATAGAAGAAAATAATAAAGAAGTATTTTATAATAAAAGACTCTCATCCAAATAAATTTTGAGCCTTATAATGAAATGCAAAAATTAGATTGCTCGTTATTATTTATCATTAACAAAGTATTATAAAATCATGGATTCCTTTGGTTAGTAATATTATTTTTAAATTCATTTAATATATTGGTAATTTATTCAATATTAGATTTCTTGAAATTTATGTAATTCAATTTATTTTGAAGAGTATTAAATTCTTCTTTTATATTTTCGTATTACTTTTGATTATCATGTTCGAATTTTGTTAGATCTGTAATTTTCTATAATAAATTCTTATATATTTTACATTTTCAATTAAGGTTATGTATTCTAAATAGTTAAAATTGATTGTATAACTTGGTTGTTCTAACTGATTAATTCGTTTATCCTGAAAATTTATTCTTTCTTCTTCATAGACAATTATTTAATTATTTTAATCAGTAACTTTATATTCTAAATCTTTGATTATTTATTCTAAATTTTCAATTTTTTTAAGTTGATTTAAATGTATTTGATTTAATCTTTCATTTTCTTTGAGTGTTTATGTAATTTTAATTTCCTTGTAATATTCAATAATTGAAATACCATATTTTCAATAATAGATGAATTTGGATCATTTTAACATGCGTCCATATATTTTTTTTTCCAATCTTCAATTTCATCGGCTTAATGATCAATAACAGATTCTAATCTTTCAACTCTTTATTTAATAATATGAAAATCTGTATGTTAAATTTAAGCTATTAATTGTTGTTTTTCTTTAGTTAATTTAGTAACTAGATTAGAAAGTTTTAAATTTTCTTAGATTGAACGTTTAAGTTAAATTTCTATTTAGGTTGAGTGTTAATCAAATTTAATATTAGCATTTTCCTTATTAAGTTAAGGACTATCTTATGTTAATATTCTTTTAGTATTATTAGTGGTTCTAAAACTGTTCTCAGTTGTTTGAGATGATACATTAAGAACCTTGAGATTCTTTAACATATTGAATTTTTAAGGTGTAGAAGGTGTAATTTCAGTGAAAATAGTTTATTAGATAGGTTAATGTTATAGAGAGTTTTAGAGTAATGATTAATAAGGTTTAATTTTAGGAGTGGATGTGGATGTATACATTATAGCTGTTAAATAATAAATATATTTTATTAGGATAGTTGTATGTATATTATATATATATAAATAATGAAATCGAAATAATATGTATCGTAAATATTAGATTTGGATGAGTACAAATAATAGATAAAGTAGTTATTAGATAAGAATGTAAGCAATGAATTTAATAAGTAGGAGAGATTAACTTAAAAGAATTATGATTTAATTCGTGAAATAACACATTACTAAATACAAATAAGAGATAAAGACAAATAAATTGAGTAATTGAGAAAAGAGAATGGTTCATTACGTTTTGAATTATAAGTACTTCTTGTTAAAAATCAAAGTTAGCTTTGAAATAAGAAGAATTATATAGTGCAGTATCATTGGATAGATATAAAAAGGTGACTTAGACTATTTAACCATAAAGTAGTTAGAATGTTTATGTATATAGGAAAACGCATCTTTGAGACTAAAAAGACTACTTTACATATGAATTATTTAAGTCCAAAAAAATGTAATAATGAACAAGATGAAGTCATCAGTCCTGAAGTTGTAGAATTTAGAAAATATAGTGAAGATGAATTACATTAAGTTGTTGTCTAAGAAATCTAAGTGTAAGAATATAATTATGGAAATACATCTAAAGTTGATCAAATTATACAAAAATATTCAAAAAATAAATTAGAATAATGTAAAGGTGAGGAATCTAATTTTAGTTCATAGTAATTATTTTAAGAGCCTGGAGCTATTGAAGAAGAATAATTATCTTAATCCTCGCATTCATATTAATAATAATAATATACAGAATCATAATCCTTATAATAATAATAATATTCATCAATATAATAATAATAAGAATAATTATAAACTCTATAAAATACATTATTTGAAGAGTTTATCATTATTAGTGTCTCTAAATCAACATTAAATGGATTAACTAATAATAATATCTTAGAAACAAGAGAAGTTAATTTAAAGCCAGAGATTTTATTTTAGCATTCATCTGCTTCTTCATGTTACAAAGAATAATTATTATTATTACCCTAATAAATATATCCATATGGACTTAAAGTTAAATTAGAAGAGAAAACTCTATCTATGAGTAATTTGAATTCGTAAATTATTATCTTATATTTAGAATTTTAATGGGTGGTTAAAGTTATGATAGATTAGCAGGAGCTTATGTAATTACTATGAAATCAGAATAAACATTCAATAGCAATCATTTTAATAACAATACAATCTTAAAAAATCCAGATAATATAAGTGATTTGATCTCTATAACTAATGTTCATCATTAATTATATTGTGTTTGTGTTGATGTACCTGATTTCTATGATTATAATATTTGTAACACCAACTCCAAATTAAAAAAGAAATTCTTTTATTCACTTTCTAAAACATATTGCTTTATTACAAAAGCTCCTATCATTGATTTCTTTATTGAAATCATCAAAATTATTATAAGTATTAACTTATTTCTTATTTTATAATAGATACATTAAAATATAAAAAAGCAGAGATCTATTCAATGGTTTCTGAATTTGAAGAAACTTTAGGAAATATTGATAACTCATTTTATACTGTAAATATATATTTTAGAGAAATAGTCATTCAAACCAGAACTATTCAATTTTTTAACATAATTATAGAATTCAAAATTGTTTAGTGAATGCAATTATTAATTTTTATAAACTCCAATAAAACCATTTATAATTAACTGTTAGAATGTTGAAAATTATGAAATAGAATGGGCTATATCATATGCATTTTCTCATTTGGAATTATCCAATTATTTAATTCTATTAATTAATATGATGTTAGAATAGAATATTTGTATAATAAGTAGTAACCGTACTCTTTTAAGTTCATTACTGTAATAATTTATCTAAATTAAATAGGATGATACTACCACATATTATTAAACCTTTTTAACATATTCATCCTACCATTTATGCTTTAACAGCTTAATTAATGCCCATTCTTGATTCTCCTGTTCCATTTATTTGTGGAATGGTCAAAGAATCAGAAAATGGATTACTTAATTTAGGTATTGAAGATGATGATTCTTTTTATGATGAACAATCTCAAGTATTATTCTTTGATGCAAATAAACTTAAATTTTATAATTTGACTAATAATTTAACAGAATCTAAAATGTACACTACTTTATTTTATAAACTATTTCAAACTTATTAATAAATACGTCAATAAAGTGTTCCTGGATATTATTTAGCAGATAATAATGAAGCAACTATGAATTTGAGTTTTAAAATTTTAGAGAATACTAAGACCTACATTTAAGAAAATATACTTTCTTTAATTCCAGAAATTGATGGAGAAATCAACCTTGATCAAATATAAGAGTAAATAGTTAATTCAACTGAAGATGAAATTTTCAAATCAATAATTAAAACTTAATATTTCTCTTACTACATCTAACAGAAATTCCATCCTTTATGATATATTTATTATATTCTATAGAGTACCTAATAAGAAATTATATATTGAATTTATAGTTATCTAAATATATATATATATATATGTATATAATTATTCACAATTTTTCTAGATATTAGACTACTAAATGTGGATATTTATTTTTCATAACCAAAAAATTTATATCATTCATTTTACCATCATTCATTTCAACTCTAAATACATTGTCTTTGTGTCCAAGTATAATTTTTGGATCTAAAATAATTTTAAGATCTTGATCAGATATGTCTGGAATATATTCTTATTTTATTTTAACTATGTTTATTCTTATATTCTAATTGCGTTTATGAGTAGCGCCATATTAAATAAACTCAACTGATAAATCCTACCTTAAGTCTCCACTTATTTTATAGAGCACACTATCTATTCCAATCAAATCATTTTTCTAAACGTAGACCTCCCCTATCTATCCAGGCCATCTATTATAGAGTTCTACCATTTCTCCTTAAATTGAAATTTAAAGAGCACTATAACAATTATACACATAATCACCCTCATCTTATAAAGATTTGCACAAGTTTTACTAATGAACACTTCCATTACTTTAACTGTTTTAACTTGAATTGGGGAATCCAATAAATCTCTTAAAGTGACATTCATTCCAATAGAGCTCGAAGTGATTTTTGAATATTCATATTATTGCATAGATTAAAATTAATGTAATATAATTCAAAGAAAAACGCTATATTAGGGATCATACTCTTTTCAATTTACATAATAATAGATTTATTGATTGATGAGACATTACTTTAATACACATACAAATTGATATTTTATTTGAAGAATCCAATCTTTATTGAAACTAGCTATATGATAAAATCTTCTTCATTATTGTTATGTGAAATAATATTACTTTACTTATATCTGAGTTTCAATAAAAAATTAGATGTGCTTTTATTAATATTATTCAGCTGTGTTTTAACAGGAACACATGCGTTTTTAAAAGAAATTTATAATGAAGGTAGACCTTATATGTTAAATTCTGATGTTAAAACGTAGTTATATCCTATTAAATTAGTTTAGAATGTATTGCTGAATTAGGAAAACCTTCAGGTCATGCTATTTGTATAGTTTCGTATATGATTTCAATCTATTTTGCTGATTATTTTGAAAACGAAGTAGAAACTAAAGTAGAGAAAAGAATAGAAAGGAAAGTAGAAATGAAGTTTCCACTTTTGAAGGCAATTCTATATAGTATAATAGCTTTGATAGTTTGTTTATCGAGAGTAGTTTTAGGAGTACACTCTCTTGGATAAGTTATATATGGAATAGTATTTACTATTTGTATGTATATGATTTACTTGGGTGTGATACATAAAATTATGAAAAAGTAATAACAACATAAAATAAATTTAGATTCATTAATAAACATATCAAATTTGTTAGTCATAAATTAACATTGTTTACAGCTTGTTTATTTTTAGTATTTTTAACACTATCTTTATCAGCAGATTTATATTCTAGAAATTAGTTTGCAAAGAATCCAGAATTATATTATAAATTTATGGATGCAGTTTAAAAATGTAGAGAAAATAATGGATTAGAAAAATTAAATGATGAGTTTGGATTCATACTTTAAAGATAAACATCTCATTCTTATGGATATTATTTTATAGTAATAGGAGCATTATTAGGTATGTCGAAATATATACTTTTTAGGATTCGTTGTTTTTAGAGGTGCTTATGAAGAAGGATTATATGAAACATAAGCGAAATTAAGAACTAGATTGACTTTGTTTATTAGAATTATGATTTTCTACTTAATGGTATTTTTAATATAGTATGGAATGGATTACTATGAACCAGAATAATATGAATCATATCTATTAATGATTGTAGTTGGTCATATAATCTTTGGTTTCTCTGTAACTTTAATCTACCCAATGTTAATGTATATATTGGGATGGGAAATTTACGGTAGTATGCAATGTGTTAATAAATCTAATTTATTAACAGAATATTCTAACATATGGGAATATGATAGTTTAATTTCAGAATGATATGTGTAATCATAAATTAATAATTACATATTCAATGTTTATTCAATAATGAACATCCTTTAAAAACATTATAAGATATCTTTTCAAAGGTTTTCTTTATTTCATCTAACATTTTAGACAAAATGTTTCCATTTTATTTAGTCAATTCAAAAATTTCTGTTTTTTTATTAATTTACTATTCCTATTCATACAATCCATATTGTTTATATTTGAATAGGATATCTATTGGAAATTCTTAATTTTATTAATTAAGAATAACAATCTGATTTAGACATTCAACATGATTAAATAATTTTAACAATTCTGTGTTTTAAAATTATAAATCAGATTTCATTCTTGATAACATTTTAACATAGAATTCTTCTAAAGATTTAATTTCATCTTAGATCTAAATATTAAAATTAATACATTAGAATATTGCAAGATCTAATTATTTTTATCTTTTAATTGTTCTTCTAATATTTTAATTTATTGCTTTTATTCATTTAAATCATTGTCTTATTGTAAGGACTATTTCAATTATTGATTATATAATGTTAATTATTAAACTGTAAAATTTAATTTCTTAATTACGATATCTTTATGTTTAATTAAGTCTCTCTAAATTTGAATCTGTTATTTAAGAGTCATAATTTCTGACTAGAGATTGTAGTAAAACTTACTTACAAAGAAACATTTTGATTTTACATATCTAAAGTTTTGAATTCTTATACTTAATTATCATAAATTTATTGCATTGTACATTAGAAATCACTTATTGGACTAACAAAACTCCCCATTTTAGATGATATTTTTTAGAATTCATCTCTAAATGATATACAAGGTTGAGTTTTCAATCTGTTTTCTATTGTATTTCTACTTTAAATCTTAATATCAGATTAAAGAGTTATTGTTCGCTGATGAGTGCTTTTAGGTGTGTTAAACTAATAATCACTTAATTTCTTTTATGCATTCTTGATAAATGACTATTTTAAATCCTATTTATATTACTTCATTTTATAAATATTTAATTATATTTCATCTTTTCAATCAAACACAGGAGATTTAAGTTCAATTCAAAATTAAATTGTATTCTAATAGATCAATTAAATCTAAATAGAAATACTTACACATCAATATAATTTCCATCCTTATTACTTAATACAAAACATTTATAAACATTAACATAAGCATTTTTATAATTTTCAATAAATATTTTTAAAAATATCTTAATTATATAAAAAATAAATATAAAGGATTGTTTTTAAATAAAAAATTATTTTTTTTATTGAGTAAGAAGATTGAAAACAAAGTGACTGCAAACATTACTACCCTATAGGTTATTTCTTGTTATTTTGATACATGCTTACTTATCGTGATGAGAATAATTGTTGTCAATTTTATTCTTGTTTTAATTTTGTTAAAATTTAGTTGATATATCTGTAAAAGTTTAAAAATTTTATGAATTTCTATTTCATTATTTTAAAGTATATAGACGAGTAGACTAAATGCTACTCTAATCTTAATATATTCTTATTCAAATTAAAATATTGATATACAGCTTCAATTCTTGGGTCTAGTAACTCTATAATAACCTTCTTATTTTATAATAGAATCAATATAAGAATTATTTAAATTATATACGTATGAAATCAAATTTAAGATCTTAATTGTTTAAGATTAAATGAGTTATTTATTCCTAATTTATAAGTTTGAGTATGATTTTCCTAATTCTTTTAATTATCGTAGGATAGCATAAATATCTCTAAATGTTTTGAAATTTTCTAACAAGATTTTCATTTAAGTAAAATTCTTGACCAAATCATAATAATGATATTAATATAATTATTATATAAATTTCTTTAAAAATTAATTATACAAATTGATACTTGTATATCAATCATGCTCACAGCAACAAAAACTTCTCATTTTTGAACTTATTTCTTTCAAGCATTTTAAGAAATTGATTTAAAATATGTATTGACCTGATTTATTTAATAATCTTAAGGTTGAATTACAAAAAAAATATCCCTAAACCTAAACCTTAAGATCTTAAACTTATCCATATTTTATTTAATCATTAACAAAGTTACCTGTAAAATTACTCCAATCATAATCAAAGGATGGATTTTGATTATCTTTTTAAAAGCTACAGTCTTATTAAATTCTCTCAAAACTAGCACAATTTCCATTTTTTTTATCGTCCTTCCAACATCCTTTATATTTTATTATCTCATTTTTTGTTATCTCTAGATTTATTCCTTCTCCATTTTTTTTATTATTCCTCAATTCTCCTGAATAGATTTCCAAAAGTTTAAATGTATTTCGTTAATAAATATATTTTATAACATTTTTACCTTCCATCTTTAGATCTTATACCAAATTATATATAGTTACATTAAAATATAAAATAATATCACCATTTTGATTTTATTAAATAATTTTTCCTTTGAATTGAAAATCCTCATAATTATTTTGACTAAATTATCCAATTAATAATTAATGTTTATATAATCCCCACCATTATAATGAATTTTTCTCTAATGCCATAATCATATTATTTAAATTTATAGGTTTTTCTTAATTTTCATCAAAATCCCAATTATTAATTTAATTATTCATATTTTCTTTTTTCAAATTCATTATTTGATAATAGTCTATAAAAATTTTAATTTCAGGTATTTAATTTTATAATACTTCGATAAATTAAATTTTAGATGATGGTTATATAAATTACTTTAAAGAATCAGATTCTTAATTTGGATTAGAGATATTATCTAATTAGGATTCTATCCTCTAAATTCTATTATTAGATTATACGGTAGTTTAAGTATTAGGTCGGTCGTAATGGTCTTCTTAATTTTCAAGATTAAGTTAAGATACTTATTATATTCTTTTCTTTGTCAAGCTCTTATTAATTTGATTAAATTTAAAATCTTTTTAATCTTTTTTATTCATCTCTTAGATTTCTTTTTCATATTTTAAACAAATTTAATTATTATGATCATTACTATATAACTGTAGAATATAATATATATCTTCTAAGATGTTGGAATTTATTTCTAATTACTCATATTATTTGTATAATCCTTTTATATGTTTAGCTTTTTTTTTTAAGTTTGTGAAAGATTCACCAATGTTTAATAAATAATTATTTAACTCTTCCTTATCTAAATAATATAATAAATTCTCATCAAATTCATAACATTTGTTCATTATAAGGCCTTTAATGTATTCATTCTCTTCATGATTCATTTTATTATCCAAGGTTGCTTTTTATTTATTCTATTCCTATATAAAGTTACCTTGATCTTCTTAAAAACTTAAATTGTTTATAATAGTCTATCTAAAAGATTCTTCAGTAAAAAATTTTTCCTATTCTTTGAAATATTCTTCTACATCAATTTTTAATTATTAAAATTTTTCAGGTATTTCATCGTTAAATATAATATTTTTAATAATTTCTGAAATTTTATCAATAATTTATGTTCCAAAATCTTAAATATTATTTTAATCATGCAATATTACTTTTATTTATTCTTCTCTTTTGAATGATTATTAATAACAACTATGAAGATCACACTTTTAATAAAATTTTTCAAAATTTCCAAATAATTCAAGCATCATAATGCCTAATGCATATCTATCCTCTTTTTGTATAATTTTGTAAGTTTTAGCTTCAACTATTTGTTAAATTTTATTTTTATCACCTTTAGCATTATGTAATTCAGCAATAAATGAATTTGACAAATATGGATATAAATTTCTCATTTGATCTTGATTAATAGGATCAATATAGTTTTTTCTACATGTGAATATTTCCTAATTATAATCATCCATATATCCAAAATCTATCAAATAAAATTTATTATCATCCCATATAATATTAGAAGGTTTCATATTTTTATGAACTATTGTTAAATATTTGTGAATTTATGCTAATTCCAATAATTAAAAAAAATAATTTATTTTATCTTCTTTTGATAATTTTTATTTTAATATGTTTAATAATGAATTTGATTTGGAATTACATTTATATTATACATATAATGGAGAGGAACCTGAAGATTTTTATTATGTAGTGTATTATTCTATTTCAACTAAACACGTTTAATATTTCTTATATCTTTTAAGCTTTCCTTCCAATTATTCTTGATGCTTAATTTATTTTACTCTTTATTAGAATTATATAAGTGATCCGCATTCAATTTTTTTGACCAATTTGTCTTAATCATTATAAAATATTAGTGGATGAGCTGTTGATTTTAGTTTAGTTTCATCAGGATAATAATTCACACTATTACTTTTATTCATTTATATAAAAATTTAATTAATTGATTATTATATCTATAAGTTTCCATTTTATATATACTAGTTTATATAATTAAATATAGCAAATATAAAATGTATGATTAAGAGAATATTTTGATGTTTGACTTTTAAAAGAATATTAATTATAATTTATTAAATAATTCATGTTAAATTAGGTTTTATAAATTTTATTAGTTTTCGAATTTCAAAATAGTATGTGATTTTTTTAAAAAGAGAAAAATGTTCGATAAAACAGGATAAAGTGATGGAGTAAATATCAAGTCGATTAGAGATAAGAATGTTTAGAAAAGTTTCAAGGTTTTGAGGAAAAGTTAAAGTAAAGTACAATTATTTTGATAGAATATTTAAATTTTTTTCTGAATAAACTTTGACTAGTTCTTCCATAGTTTAAGGTAGTTAATCAATTAAGACATAAATTCTAATTGCACCTATGAAGCATATATTGAAACTCAAAATGCTATGATTATATAATTTCAATTTAATTATTGGCAGATAATAAGCAAAATGTAACTAGAATTAAAATCTATATTAATAAAACACTTAAAATTCAATTAATATATTTCTTTAAGTTTTATAAAATTTATCATCAGTTTTAGATACATAAAAATATTCTCACTAAATTATCAAACTTATTTATTATGATCATATATCAAATGAAAGATTGTATCATTCTTTTTTCAAATTTGAATTCTTATAAATTCTTAAAAACTTTTATCATATACTTATAAACTCCTTGTATATTGGTAGATGTAGAATTACAAAAAAAAAAATTTATTTAATTATTCGCAACCAAGAAAAATTGTTACGTGTAGACCAAGGCTAATAAGGTAGGTGAAGTTTTATATATGAAATCAAAGTGAATTTGTATAGAGGATGATTGTAAAGTACCAAAAAAAGAATATTAATTAAGAATGACAGCTCTGCTTAATTGAATATGACTTGAATTATACTTAATATATATAAAAATATATTGATGGAAGATTAAGTTACTCGTTTTAAGAATAAGTATTTAGTAAATCGTAGTAATACCAAAAGAATGACCATACGAAAACCTTAATTGGAACATTCACCTGATAATTGGAAGGAAATGTTTGGTAACTTCCTAAATGATATTTCGTTAAAAAAGAAACATCATAGAGAAAAGACAATGAATGTAAGAATAATGTTATTAATAATGATAGCATCTTTAAGATCCTTTGGTTCATGAGAATCCTCTTTCAATACCATGTACAACATAAAGATTTAAATTGGAATTATTTAAATATCTTGAAGGTGAATAAAGTGTTTAGGAAATGATGAATTCTATAAATTTTCCTGGATTGAAAGTAATTATATTCTTGGACAAGAGTAAGAAATAAGCCCAGACTAAACAACTATGAAATAACATGTTTAAAAGTTGCGTAATTTCAGAAATCAACATAGTGTGCCTGTGTATGATAATTCTACTCATACAATGCAAATGAGACAATAACATTTAATGATTGAAGGGAAATTTGATGAAGCTCAGTAAATCTAATAACAATTGCATGAATAAACTTAAAGAAAAATCTAAGTTTTAAGAGATTTTATTTAAGAAAGAGTATAATAATATATTAATTTAGATTGAATTAAGAAAAAAGGCAAATCAACAATAAAGATTGGAAGAAATAAAAAACATTCATTTTATTAAAACCTTTTATGATATATCAAATGAATATCGACTTAAACATCAACAATAATAAGAATAATTAGAAGAAGATTCTCATTACTTTAAGAAAAGTGTACCAGGTTCTAAGAAACTTAAATAGATCTATGTAAATTATGATAACGTACAACCATATGTAAAACATTAAGGAAAACATTTTGATAAATATAGTTATCCATCCATCGCCATTTTAAAAGATACTATGAATTAATAAAGTAAAGAATATTTACAAGAAGTTTAATAATAAAAATAAAAGAGATTTGAAGATGCATTGAAATAAGTTAGAAAATTATTAGAATCTCAAAATATTAGATTTAGTAGTAATAGAAATAATAATAATAAATCTTAACCTCTCGATTGGCAAATTGATGTTACTATTGCATCACCTAAAAGAAATCCTACTGAAAAGATTAATATCTCTTAGACTGGAATTGATTACAAAAATCTTAAAGATTATGTTATTGCAAAGAAACCATTTTTTTTATTTACAAAAAGAGCTAAATAAGATAAAAATCCAAAAAATGCACATGGACTTATTACTATGTTTGATCTTAAATTATATGATTATATCCATAACAAAAAGATTTATACATCTAATCCTTAACTTAAATAGATTTCCGATAAATTTCATACAATGATTGAAAGTAAAAAAGAATAGGAAATTAATGCATAATTAGAAATATAAATTGAATAAAGAAAATATTAACTTAATAAAATGAAAAGAGAATCAGCACCAGAATAATGTTTAAATGATGTATCTTAATATTCAGATGATTAATCTCTATAATCTATTTATGAAGTTAATCTAGATATGTTATATAACTAATCACATTAATTACATAAAAAATTAGGTGAATCAATTGAGGGAGGTTTTGCTAAGAGAATAAAATAGATCATTAAATTAGAAGAAGTTAATCAATAATGTTTAAAAACAAATCTAGACAAATTAACAAAATAAAAGATTTCCTTATGATAATCAATTCTAATTATATTAAATTAATTATAGATTTATTATTAGTTAATCAAAGTAAATCATTTTTTTATGATGTAACAATTTTCTAATTGAACTGATATTTTTATTATTATTAATAATCTGGAATGCATAAAATAACATTGAAATTTTTAGACCAGTCAATAGAATAGAAATATTAAATAGAACATTAATGTCCTAAAAGAAAAACTCACTTAAAACTATTCTTATTATTTTTTATAGTGTTTTAAATCATTAAGCTTATTATTGCTTTGATAATTAAGAATTATTCTGCAGTTTATCCAACACTTGGAATGATGGGATGTACAGCTTTTTCAAAATGCTTTAATTTAAATAAAGAATATCATTAAAGAACTTTAATGATATTCATTAATATTTGCTTTTCAATTTATGTTCTATTTTTTGATCCTCATTTAGATACTCCAACTATGTATTTTAGAGGTGCACATTAAATGGCCATCAATATTATTAATATATTAGGAACTGAATTTATAGATTCAACCGTTACTATTATTATGTTGTATTTACTAAGAATTTTTCATATTGTTTAAAATACTTCCAATCTTGATATTACTACTATTATAATGGGATTAGGTGCTAATCTTGCCATGGTTATAATGGTCTATTTATATCATAAAGCTATTCGATCATAATTTCTATTAACTAAAATTGATTAAAGATGGGAAAATATTTTAAAATAAATTCTTCATAATTAATAATTTATCCTAATAAATTATCATATGGAAAAATTGTAATTCTAAAGTATATCTTCAACATTTTCATAAACTATCCAATCATAAGCAGAAGTTCTTAATTTTATAAGAAAAGCTAAAGTTGAAAATGATTCTTTAGAAAAATTTTTATTTCACAAATTACAAGATTTCTCATCAAATTTTTTAGAAATCATAAACCATTCATTAAATGTTAAATTTGATAAATAATTAATTTAGATTAATTATTCTATCTTTTTTGGAAATTAACCTACTATCTTAATATAAACCAGTTCATCAAAATTATTTTCAGAAAATTCAGAAATTTAGAAAGCTTGTCATTTATATCTTAAATTAATGACTGTTTTTATTAAGATTATTAAAGAAAATAAGCCATTTAATAAAATATAATTCCATAATTTAGCTAATAAGATTTAATTTCAAAATTTAATGATATCAATATGGAATAAATAAATTTAATCAAAAACTGTAAGTTTGAAGAGATCCATATTGAAAATATAAACTTTTTGTAATCCTTCAACAAAAATTTAATTTATTGGTTCAGATTAATTAATAAAAACTATTCCAAAAATATTTTATTTATTATTAGCTTCCATAGTTAATTGTACTATTAATTAATAAATGATAGTGAAACATGAGATTTTGCAAACTTAATCAAATAGAATTATATTTTAAGGAAAATTCAATATACAGAAACTTAATTATTCAACCACTAAAATTAAATATTACTTGCTTCTCATTTGCAAAGAAATCTATGCAGATTAATTTTGTATAAATTTTTGTTAATAATATTTTTAAGGTATCAATTTAGAACTAAATGATGAAATTCTTTAGCCATTTTATGATCGAATAATACCCAAAAATTAAATAGGGTATCTAAAGAAAAAGTTAACTCAATGAATTATTATATTTTGCTTTTTCAAAAAAGATAGTTTTATTTTTAAAAAACAATTTATAATATATTCTAAGAAATTATGAATCTAAAAAATTTTTTATTATTTTGATCACTTTTTAAATAAATAAAATTATTAATAATTAATGATTAATCTATATAAAATTTTTAATATATAAAAAATGTAGTACAGAATTTGTGGAATAATATTATTATTAAAGAAATGTCAAATATACGGTTTGTTTTTAAAAAAAAAGTTCACAAAACTCATTCGAATGTAACAAAATACAAAAATATTATTGAGACAATAAAATAAAATTATTAGTAACTAAATGAAATATATTTGTTTGCAATAATCAATCTAGGTTATAATTTAAATGAAAAAATTTAGAGGAGAAAGAGTCAATAGCAGAAATAAGAAATGATAAAGAATTTTAATAATTATAAGAACTTTATAAATAAAATAAATGGGCTTCTATAAAACTGCTAGTAACAGACACATAAGACTATAAATAAATTTTAAAAGATTCATAGGGAGTATTAAATTAAAGTATTTTTGGTTAAGAGATATAAAACAAAGATGTTTGTAGATTAAATTAACCAATATAAACAGATTAATTAAATAAGAGGACCAAAATTTTGGAAATCAAGGGTAATGTTAAATGATTATATATTATAGTATTTAGTTTTAAGAAACAAAAAATAATAACGGATAGAACACACTTTAGATAGATTTTAGATAAAATGAAAAATTAAAATAAATGATAACTGATATAGTAGATTAAAGAATAAGAGAGTTGGGATTGACAATTAAAGATAAAATTGCAAAATATAAAGTCACATTAACATCAAGAATACCAGTATTTACAGCTATTCCTGGAAAAAAGATA